TTGCCGGCTGGGTTTGAACCACGACACAGGGTTATACTATCATACACAAGCATGCCACCTTTAAGGGGAAAAAACCCTAGTGCTAAAATTGCAAAATTTTCAAATTCAAATTCAAAAAGTAAAGTCTAAAATAAATTGCAAGCTTATTAACAGAAGTTGTGAATGCAATGTGTATCCTGCACTAAACTGACAAGTGCTTGGGGGAAACTTGAAAAACCAACATCAATCTTGTATTTCACACAAGCAGTATGTTTCCACATGTTTCACACCATATATGTTCTTTTGGGTAAGTGCAGTTCAAAAGGAGTAACAAGTACAAAGCAGTTACACCTGATAGTTTTATTTGTGCTGGGAAGTTTCGTTTACTCTTCACAAGAATTTCACTGTATAAACGCAATGCCAGGTTCCTCTCTGTAAAACTGCAACGTATCAGTTGCAGATGCCCAGGATAAAAGAGGCCAGACTTCCACACTTGCATCTCGGGCATGACCCCAGAAGTTCACTGTTGCAGTGAGACCCTCCAGGTTGTAAAAGAAGAGGAGTCAACAACAGAAGCACCCTCTCCAAAACGCTATAGTAAATGGAGTCAAGAGGGTGATCTCTACCTCCCACTGGTGACAGCAAAGATACAGCAGGCAGTAGCAATACTGTAAGCACAGAGACTGCACTTACACCCAAAGGCAGGTGCAAATATACTCTAACTGCGACCACTGCCAGTCCAGTCCAAACAGGTAGAAATGCTGCTCTGACCTGACTACAGCTTGGAAATAACCACAAAGACCATTATTTTCCATCAATCTCTGCTTCCCTCTATAAACAGCACCTTTTTCTGACTCTGGGCTTCAAGTCCCTCCTGTATTTCTTCCCTTCTCTGCATTAGACAGAGACAGTACTTCAATTAGATCTTTCCAAAACCTCCTCACTGGCATTTCATCTTGTCTGGGAATACCACCAAATACCTGGCTTTGGCCTGCATTCCCTGGCCACATCTGTTTCAGATTTAAAGGTAGGTTATAAAGTCTATGGGACTTCATAGAAGGAAGACAGACTTACTCCTGCAAGGAAGTGGCCTTACAAGTCTACTGCATTGCAAAACAATCCTAATTTGGCTCATATTGAGCAACCAAGAACCAAGACTGTTTTAGCAAGGCAGGAATACAGTCATACTTAAATCATGTAAATATAATTAGTACTTCAGACTTAAAAGTCCTGGCATCTATTCATAATGTTATACAGCAGACTCTTGAAAGGAAACAGGTTGTTTTTTCCTTACCCTGATTTTTGACTCAGTTCTCTTTCACTGTCGAGAAGCACCAGTTCCTCCTTCATTTCTTGTTCTATTGCTATATTATTTCCAAGTCTCTGTAGAGAATTTGATTCCCATTCACCATCACAACCAACCACCTGCAACACATGTGTTCCTGCAATGCCTGAACTCTCGTCCTCGGTAGTCAGGCTATTTGAAGGAGAGCAGCTCTCATGTTCAGAAGATTTCTCAAGAGGAGTTTCCACCTGAAATTCGGCCTGAGCGTCAAGTATCAATTCCTGTGCTACAACAGCTGCCAATTCTTCAACAGAGTATTCAGACCCTGATTTTGGCATCTCTGATTTTGGCTCAGCAGAACTTTCTTCAGGTAATACGCCACTGCCTTCGTTTTGGCCCAATATAATCCAGCCCTCATCTTGCCCATAGCTTTCCTGTGATCTCCTTTCATCATCCAGTTTTTGAGGCACAATAGAAGAACTTTTCTCTTCTAAGAGAACAGAGTCCCATTCAGTCCCACAAAGAAAGTGATCTTCCCTTTCATTTGTAATGGAGATTGGCTGACAGGTATCCAAGTAACCCGGTGAAAAGCCATCATGAGTTTCTGTTTGTTCAGCTACATTAGCTTCTTGAAATGCAAACTCACTTTCCTTTCTTTCAAGGACATCCTTTGTCGAAGGTGTACTTTCTTCCTCAGTAATAAGTATGTAATCCATCTCCAGTGAAGTTGGATCTTGGTGCACCTTCACATCTTCCCCACCCTCTGTACTTTTCAGGTCAGGGCTCTCAGAGGAATTCCTCAGCATATGCTCCCTACAAAGCATGGAGTCAGCGCCAGCTTCTAAAAGAACAGGCAAACAGAAACTCCTTTTAGTTTTTGAACTACTGTTGTAGTCACCATTATTTCTTTAAATCAGTACAGTGAGATAAAGCTCTTCTCAGTTTTATTTGCTCTGTTAATGTGTACTTGAATTTTATAAGTCCATCATCATCATTACTGTTAAAGATTATACATTAACACTGCAATAATTTCTAAGGGACAAACGATTCTGTGTCCCATATACCAGGCTCTGTACAAACAACAGAAATAATGTTCCTACATCAGAACTTAAAAGCTTTAGATGTGTCTAGAAAGGTGATGCTAGAGGTCTTCCAAAAGTACAGTTTTGTACAGCAGGGAGACACACAAACTTAGAACTTCGCTTAAAGCCTAATCATTCAATAGTTATACTCCAGACATTTCCTTCTTTCTTTGTCTTATGAACTTGCTCTGGAAAGCATGTTTTCTTACCATCAGGTGATCTCTTATCTCCACCTGGCGGTGAGTCCAGATCAGTTGTTTCCGCTTCAGATTTTTCTATCGAAATGTCAGCAGCTCCTGGAGTTACTTCAGACTCGGAAAGTGAAGGTACTGATGTGTGATTTTCCTGAAGGCACTCTGTGGGTGTTTCAGACACCTGATCTTTCATGTTGCTGTCTTTGGTCATTGGGATGCCTTCTGCACCTTCTGAAGGAGTTGACAGTGGCAAAGGTTTTTCAAAAGAAGCACTGCCGCACAATGGCTGCTGTACCAAAACCTCGTCCTTTGTACACTCTCTGCTCCCAGACAGCTCAGCATCATAAGATACACAGGATGGTGGGGTACACACCACTGGTGACTGGTCACTGGGCATTTCCTTAAACACAGGAATGCAATTTCCAATTACATCTTCAGATTCTTTTGCAATATCATCAATCAGTTGATTATCTGATTTGGATTCATGGCCTTCATTACCACCAGGCAGAAGGGATTTGGGAAAGAATACCTGTTTATCCTTTGGTTCCCCTTCTGCTGCTTCACTGCCTTCTGCTGCCAGTGTGTTCATTCCAGAACATGTGCTTGCCAGGACATCAGTTGCTGACGTGTTCCTGTTGTTATGGTCCACACTTGTCTCAGATTCATCCACACATTCTTCTGACATGTCTAGCTCATCACTGGTTATTGCCGTATGGTCAATAATACAATGTTTTCCAACTTCGGCCAAGGCACTAACTTCTTTTATGCTTTGTTCTGCCCTTTCAGGTAGAGTGAAATCCATGGGAACCAAATGCATTTGAGAGGTTGCTATTTGAGCTGTATCAGCTGGTGTTCCTCGATGGCTTGCAGGAGTAAAACTTCCATGGAAAATGTCTTGCAGATCTAAGGACCCCACTTCATTGTGTAACTTCATTGGTAAAACTTCATTGGTAATATCAGCTGACTCAATTAGGTCAGTAACAAGTTTATTTTCTAGACCATATTCTTCCAAAGTTGCAAATTCAGGAGGCTCCTGAGTTTTAGAAGAGATTAGCTGATAGGATTGATCCATCTTTCTCTGTTCATAGTCCTGGGGGCTACGACTTTCAGCCTGTGTCTCTACTTTCTGCGTTACTAACTGACACTTTGAAACATAATCTGCCTCTTTACTAATATTTGACCATGCAGAAATTGGCAGGCTATCTTTGTCTTCTGTCTCCACCCCAATTTGAGAAGATGGGATAGAGGCATGCTTAGCTTCATACTCCTGGCACACGTCAGGACTGCTTGATGCCTCTGAACTATTGTCTTGGTCACAATGACTTAATATATCTGGATTTTCACCATCTGATTTCAAAGGGACAATCTGCTCAGCATTAGTCCACAGGTCAGGTTCCACTGAAAACAGCTGATTACTTTCTTGTGTGCTATCCTGTAAAATATCTGGGATAAGTGCTGTTTGGGGAACTAATATATTCCACCCTGGACTTGACTTCTCTGTCATTTCATATGATAAGTCTTCTACAGTGAAAGGACCTGGAAGGGACTTGTGCACTTCTAATCTTTCATAGGTGTCCTCTTGTTGTTTTTGAGGAATGAGACTTGCAATTCCTTCACTGTCTTTTGGCAGATCCAGTACAGTGATCTCTTGCATTGATGTATCCGGCATACGTCGGTCCTCATCTGAAAAAGGATTCTGCGGAATCAGCTGATTTTCCTCATCTGTAGTAAACAACACCTCTTTCAAGTCCCTTTCTTCTTTATCCAGTACGAAAGGATCAAATTGTTTGAACTGTACAGTGTCTTGATTTATCTGACTATCAGGAATATTCACAGGTTGTACCAGACTTTCATTTTCTTTTTCATCACAGTTTAGAGGGGGAGGCTGATTTCCATCATTACTTGCCATAGTGAAATAGTCTTCTGTTACTTCTTCAACTTGTGAAGGTGATCCCCAGGGGTCCTTACTATATATTAACTGGCTTGTTGCAGAGTGACTTGAAACGGAATATTGATCTTCCAATTGCTTTTCTTCACCAGGTTGTGAATTCCACCATTCTGAACTATCATCTGGAAAACCAAATGTTCCTACTGTGGATTTTGGATCAGTTCTTAAATCCGTTTCCAATGACACATTCCGCATATCTACAGCTTTTGAATACTCTTCTTTACCACGAACAGCAAAAGTCGGTGTAGTATCTTCATTCATTTGATACAAATACAAGTCTTCTCCACTACCTGTTTTTTCACTGAAAATACTCATTTGATCTTTCTTCTGAAGTGTTTCCCAGTGACCTAAATATTCAGGAGTCAAGTCGTCCTGCAATACTTTCCTAGCTTTAATTGTTTCAGGATTTTCATTGAAGATGCCTACCTGAACCTCCTCTCCCACCTTAGTTTTTGAATCTGTATTGTCTTCATTTGCTTCAGGACTTGTTGCATTGGATGGAGCATAATCGTCTCTAATTTCAGATGCTTTGTGATGTTTGTTTTCATACATGGAACCTTCATGACTCACTTCTGGACATGCCTCTGAAGTCTCTGAATCCTCATTTATGTCAGGACTTGATAAAGAAGATACAGTATCATCATCCACATGGGCATTCCAAAAATCTAAGCTTTTAGGAATTTTGTTCTGCTCAGTGCTTGTTTCAAATCCTTCTTCACATTCACTGACAAACTCATTCCTTTTAGAAGCATCTTCAAGATTTTTGTTATTCTTGAAATCCCACATACTCCTGCTTCCTCTGTGAAGACTGGGAACTTGATGGTCTCCCCACACATTCACAGATGCATCACTTAAATCAGGACTTGTTCCACTTGAGTGTGCATAATCATTTACTGAATCACTCCACACATTATCTTCTTCCAAATAACTTTTGATCTGTATATCCTTTGAAAGGCTACTTACGGTGTTTGCCATTTCAAGGGCTTCACTTGCCTCGGGACTTGTTCCAGGAGATTGCAAATCTTCACATGGCTGTGAATTCCAAGCAGTTTGGGGAGAACTGTCATTAAGCATTACACATGGCTCTCCATCAAGATTATTAGTAAGTTCTAAATTTTCAGAGTTTTCATTTCTCCTAGAATCTATTTCATGTGAAAATGAGTTTTCCACCAAAGACATATCTGTAATGTCAGGAACACTGACATATTCAGAAGAAGGACTCTTCTTAAACTCATCTATGAAAGATTTTCCATAAGTCCAATTCAGTTCTGAGCTATTTTTGAAAGATAGTAACCCAGTATGGTTAGGAACCACTTCATGTAAGCCCTCTTTCACTTCTCCCAGCGCTTCTTGTGGTTCATTCGTCAAAGGAATTGAAGTGGCCTGGCAACCACCGCTTTCTTCAGAGTCATTCCAGATGCCTGAGCTTCCAGGCATTTTAGAAGAATTATTTTCAAGACTATCACTACCCTTATCAGAACTTTCAGAGATACTTTCCATCTCTGGACTTGTTGCATCCTCTATCACTGTAGTCTTCTCAGCTTTCTCAGCAAGCAGCTGTGATGTTTCACTATAATTGTAATTTTCTGCTCTGGGGTCATCAAAAGATTCATAATCTCTGCCTTCCTCAGAAACACTTGAGGAAGATTCTACAGTATTCTGCAACGAGTCTTTCCTTTCTTCCTGACTATCTGGATTACTTTGATTGGAAAATAACCCATTCTCTGTGACTAATGCTTCCAAACTAATACTATTCCTCATTTTTTCAGGGGAGCTAGGAACTTCAGTTGTTGATCTGTTTTCTTCCAAGTCTGCAATACAAGAAGATTCACTGTCCTCCTGCACTGGTTTATGACACGTGTCACTAATCATTTGCTGTCCACTTGTCTCATCTGTACTCTCACATTTCTCTTTTCCTTCCTGAGAGATGACAATGGCATTGTCCCAGTCTTCCTCACAACCCTGCTCTCCCTGTAAACTCCATGAGTTCAGCTGCTGCGCTGAATCCTGACTATCCAGTATTTCATCAACATAAGCAGAATTTTGTGTTGCCTTCTTATCAAGTATCTCACTCTCTAAGTCACATATTTTCAGATCCAAACCATTTCCAGTATCTGAAGTTGCCGTAGATGTGTCTGTGTCTTCTACAGGAACACTGCTCACTGTTTCTGTATTTTCATCAGCAGTCTGTGCAGAATTTAATTCATTCCATGGTGGTGACAAGTCATTCACTGTCTGATTGTATACTGGTGTTACTCTTTTGTTTTCAGATACAGAAAAATTATTTTCACTGGTAAGTATGTCAGTTGAAAAACACTGATTACCTGTTTGTTCTGAATTAAGAAAAGATTTAGCAGAGGCAGAAAGAGCAGCAATTTCAGAATTTCGCTCTTGTAACTGGGTGACATTATTCAGGGGAGTGTTCCAGATGTCTATGTTTTCAGCGCTTGAAAAAGGCATGTTTCTGGGAGATAATGGTTCCTTATTTCCTTTCTCAAGTACTTCTGGCTCAGCCAAATTTGGGCTTGCCAATTTATCAATAACTGTTTCTTCACCAAGATCTTTGTCCTCATTTTCTCGTTCATCTTCCACATACGTAGGTGATACATATGAATCAGATGTTGAGTAATTGGTGTCTGGTGGAGAAACAACTAAATCTTCACCTATGTTTGATGAACTAAGATCTGAGTGTTTATACAAGAAGTTATCCTCCCATGGCACTACCACTTCTGTTACTTCCTTCCTGATGTTTTTATCATACATATTCCAGTTGTCTATATTTTCAAATTGTTTTGGTCTATGTTTAGGGTCACCAAATACAGCTTCTTCCTCTGTTTGCAGCTTGGAATTATTTTGCAGATTGTTGAAAACAGAATTTGTATTTTCAGGTTTTCCATATTCTTCTACTGAATAACATCTTTCTTTATCCCAGGCTTCCGGAGGTATCTGGATAGGTGGATTTTCAGTCTCATTGTCCACTGTGATTTCTGAAGAATCTGATAAAGTAGTTTTTGATAGGGCCCATTCCTCAGGAATATTCACTGGTTTTTTTTCTCTATCCATTTTGGGCATGTTCCACACATTTTCTGAGGCTCTAGCAATATCTCCTGCATCAAACTTAGTCCAGACTTCGTAAGACTCTCCAGCTAGTTGACTACTCTTCCCTCCACCACTACACCACGCATCTGACATTACAGGTGTTGGCTGACTGACCTTCCATGGGAAGGTAAAGCTCTCTGGTTCTTGCTTTGTTTCCTCTAAAGATGCAGTTTGCACACGTGAATGTTCACCATTTTTCTGTTGCATCTCATCGTTCCAATTATCTTGCTTAAATTGATTATCCCACAGTCCTGCTCTCATGTATTGCATTTGTTTTGGCTGTTTTTGGAGGAATACAGAATCTGAGGCTCTTCTATCACTATGTTCTCGTAGCGAGGGACTTTCTTTACAATCTTTCCATAAGATGGGGCTCTGAAATACAGATTCCTGCTCACTTGAACTCCAGGTATCAGCATTTCTGGACTCCAGGTCAAAGCCATCCCACCAGCTCCCATATCTAACACGAGACGGAGAAAAATTTGTGCCATCTATTTCACTAATTTTTTTAATGACATCTTGTGGGAAAAATAAAGGCTGCCCATTATCTAATGGTGAAGTTTCTACAAGACTGTTCATAGGAGTTGGTGGAATTCTTGAATCAGCAGATTTCAAAATTTCTGGGGAAGAGGAATCACCTTCAGCTAAATCAATCAAACCTGAAGTTTTCTCACATATTTCTCCTGGATTCTCATCAAATTCAGCTAAATTGTCTTCCTCATTTGTTGTCATAACTAAGTCAGTTGAATAATTTGCTGTAACATTTTCCAGCAGGTTTGCCTCATCAAGTTCCTTCTGCATAGTGAGTTGTTGTCCTTCTGAAGAATCACTGTTAAGGAAATAGTCGTCTGTTGGGGAACAGTCAACAGAACGACAAGATGACTCAGATGGAGCTTTAACCGCAGGTGCTAGATCAAAATTGAAAAGATCAAAGTTATCGCTATTGCCTCTAGACTGAGGGCTTTGTTCTTCAGCTATCACTCCTTCAGGAATAGGGCTACAGGAATCAAAGCCAGGCAGAAGACTGTGATGGGAAGCAGCACCTTCTGCTACAGGGCTATCATCACTAAGGAAAACAGAACTCTCTTTCGAAGACCGGCTGCTTCTAATGGTAGCCAATCCACTGTCTGGACTCACAAGGTCTACATTAACGTCAATGTGGGCTTGCACAGATCCATTTAGATCTTGAGGATTTTCTATAAAATTTGCAGAACTGGGCTGTGGTTCTGCATCAGAACCATATAACTCCATAATACCAGAAGATCCTTGTGAAAGTGGAGCACTTCCAGCAACAGCCTCAGTAGAAGAAGTTCTACTGTTAGATACCATTTCTGGCTGTCTTCTATTTATGACTTCCTTAACTAGAAGAAAAATTTGATCGCAAGTCACCAAAGAATTTTCTTGATGATAAATGATAATTTGGTCACATCCACATTCCAGAGGATCCAGCTCCAAACAAGGATTCTGACATTCTTCTAATTCACAGCAGATCTGTTGAAAAATAGGATGTTTCAAAAGCAATTGCAATTATGGGCATAAGGGCACAGATTGACTACTTCACTGTGTAACACAGCCATACCTATCTATTCCTATTAATCTATTCCTTGGCCATTTCACTGTAACAGCCTTCTTATAATCAGTAAACAGATAAAGTGTTAAAATATGAGATCAACACAAAATATGTATTATATAATTGGTCAGAATATTTACTTGAAATTACACCACTTGACTTTCAAGTTCACTTTTCATTAGCAAAAGGAAATCCAAATAAATGTTTAGTTGTTGCCTTAAGAAATCTGAGTAAAATATGGAAAGGTACATGAGAAAAATATTTATAGAATGTATAGTGTTATAGTATTATAAAATAAATAAATTTATATTCACCTTGAAAGCAATAGTCATTTAGCCACCTGCCCCTACAATCAGAAGTTATTAAGACTTGAGAAAAAGGTTCAAAAAATTGCCACTGAGATAATTTCTTCCATTTGGGGACAAAACCAGTAATAAAATGGACAGCCCCTGTCTTTGGATAAATGAACATCCTACTAGTAATTTGGTTTCATTTCAGAGCTTAAATTCTTTGGCAATAACATATACACAGATAAGTTCTGCTTATTACCATTTACAATGTTTTTGCTTGTCCCTCACTGCCAAAGACTCATTAGTGTAGCTCAGAATACAAAACTAAGCCAAAATTAGTTTTAAAAAAAAAATAAAATTAAAATCTTGTCTCTTTCTGTATTTCGTGTAACCATACACTTTTTCTATTAGCCTGGTTTGAAACAATCATAAATATCACAATCCTTCAGTTTGCAACATATAAATAATTCAGCCATTTCAACTGTTGTTACTTTTTGACCCCACTTAAGTACTCAACCCTTAGGTATATACTACTTTAAAAAACATTTTTTCAGGAAAGATATTATTTGATTCTTTTTCCAGGTACTTACTTGATTGCTTAGCTCTAAGTTTTCAGAGTATACTGCTATTTGTCGTCTTGTTTGCTTCTCATCTGACAAACAGCTGGCCAAAATTACAAGTACATCAAACTCATATTTCTCTACGAATGCTTTCAGATCACCAACAAGACTCCTGTGTAATATGCAGTCCTGAAATACGGTAAGAAATTAAAAGAAATATCAGTGTCTTTTCCTTGCTCTTTCTGACCAAATCTGTGGTGAAAATAGCCAGAAATGTTACTAAGCATCACTGTCTGTAACTGGCAACAGAATTCCATTCCATTTGTCAAACAGCTGTGGACGTAAAAAAAAAAATCAAGGACCTTTTATTTCTGAAGAACACTAAAATTCTAAATGTAGGTTTTTGCCTTCTTGTAACTGCTGCTAAAACAGATTTCTTATTTGTTCCTGGTACTTGCTGTTGCACGTTCACTTGCAAAAGTATTGGGCTACTGCTGTTTCTTTAATAAAAACCCTTTTTTGCTTAAAAAATTAAAAAACTTTATGGAATTTGTCATGCCAATATTTCACTTAAGATAACAGATGCTATAATTATAGTATTGAGGGACAAAATCAAGCACTCAAAAAGAAATCACATGTGCTAACTTATGTATCCATTCTGACGTCACATTCTGATTTTACCATGGATTATTCCGTTAGATTCCTTTATTCCTGCTCTTCGAATTCTATGCAAGTCTTCAAAACAATAATCCCCCAAATAATGATAGATTAAGGCAAACCAGATTTAAAATCTGTGTCAAAACCCTGATTACTTTCACACACTCCCCACACCAAATACACAGAAGGTAAACACTGCGTTTGTCATCCATATTTTCATTTATACTTGGATTTCCCAATTTTGAATAGTCTAGATTTTGCAGAATAAATGATACATCCACCTTTCTCACATGGAGGTATCATGCATAATGTATAAATGTCTCTCTTCGGTCTTCAGGTCTGGTAACTGCCAGTGAACAAAGTCTTAGAAATTTTATCTTCTCCTTTATATTTCTGCTATTTGTATTCGAGATAATTTTTGTCATCTCTTAGCTAGTAGTTCTTCTGATGCTGCTAAGCTACACTGGCCCTGAACAAACAGCAGTTCATCATGAACACAACTGTATATGCAAATTGGCATGTTATTCCCTTGCATCTGTCTCCCACCTAATAAATTACTGGTTTGGCTACATATATATAAATACTATTTATTAATCTACTCAAACGTGTCCACAAAATGCATCTGCCTCCCTGTAAGCTAAACTTCAACCAAACAAAAATCTTTTTGTCAAATAATTTGGAAATAGATTCTTTTCCGAGATGAAGTTCCACTTGGATGTTCACACAGCACCTAAAAATCAGTTTTACGTGAAATTCATGCAGATTAATGCACAAACTAAAGTCAGCTGTCAGTTTAAGACATTAAGATCTGAAATCTGAATAGGAGGTTATCCAAAGAATTATGGTGAATAAGGTTTGAACATCCAAACCAGTAACACTTTTTCTGAAGACTCAAGTACTAGGTATATTAAAAAAAGTATCAAAATGTGCTTAAGCATGCCAAAGGTACTTCAGTTATCCTAACAGATTCCTAGTTGGAATAATTAAAATCTATTTCAATAAAAAATTTGAACTAGAGCAGATGAACTAAACCATCTGAAAATCCCTAATAACTCCTTATCTCAGTCACTCACCCACAGCCAATTCAAGAAGACTGGGAGGTCGAAGGGAAGGACAAGGACCAATCAAGGATCTAGTCTGCAAGGTGTTTTATGGCTGTACATAATGTAAATAAATGATCATGCTAAAAAATGTCCAGCCTTCAAGCTTCATGCTGCTTTATCTTCTACATTGCCTGTATCAGCTGAGTGCCATACATTGAAAGGTCAGTTCTACCAGTCAGAGCAGGAACTAAGGATGTAAATGGCCATGGTAAAGGCACGGAAGGTGCTAAAATCTAAATTTGCCTTATGTCCTGTTTTTTCCTAACTTGTGTCGTATGATCAAGAGCACCCCTGAGGAATTGATATAGCAGTATGTGATCCAGTAGCCTGCTGCTGTAAGCAGGGAAGTTGCCAAACATGTATCCCTGGTGGAGCAATTGGACTGGAGAGCTTCACATTGATCACATTAATATAAACAATAATGGAGCTGTACTACCTACATAATTACCTGATCCAGCTACTTGAGGTTCTCTCCATTTCTTCCACGCTCTCAAACTTACTACGATTCAGAGTGCGTATTTTTAATTCTTTAGGTTCTCTGCATGTTTATGATGGAAAGAAGCACAAAGATTAACTCAGAGAAGGCTGTCTCTTTCCATCAGGTACAAGATGCAGAAGGAGATGCTTTTTTTATCTGTGCTTCACATCCAGCTTGCCCTTTGGGCTGTGTTGTGCTATGCATATTACTTGGGTGCAGAATAAACTTGGCCACTTAACTGTACCAGAGAAGACTGGTGGCAGCATCCATTTTGTACCAGCAATTACATCACTGCTGCGTGCCCTTGACTTTAACTAAAAGTGCAGCAACAAGTTCTTATATAAGCATCCTTTGTGTTTGTCAGTAGAAATGAGGAATGGAGTTGTTTCTTTGTAAGAAAGTCCTATACTTTGGGAGGCCAGATCTACTGGAGGCTGGAGTTGGTCTAACAAAGAGGAAGAGCTGCTTTGGTAGGAGACTTGCCAGGCTGGTCAAGGCAGCTTTAAATTAGATGTGTTGGGGAATGGGGGCATCAATCCATCCCAACACTCACGGTCAGTTGCCAGCACCTGCCATAAGTGCTTGGAGCAATGTAGAGATATCTCAACTGCTCCAGCCATTGAGTCACCTTCATTTGGAGCTCAGCTCAGATGTCTCTATACAAACGCCCGTAGTATGGGAAACAAACAAGAGGAATTGGAGATGTGTGCAAGGCTACAGGGAGACAATGTCATTGGTGTCAGAGAAACATGGTGGGATGATTCCTGTGACTGG